CAATATCCAGCAGCTAAGAGAGGCCTTGGCTGCGGAAGAAAGAAAGAAAGAAGAAGTWTCTCGAAGAAGAGAACAGGAACAGCGAAGAGGACAAATAGTTAAAGAGATCAGGCAAGTAATAGGAACAAAAGTCAGTGAGCAGGCTGACATGTCACAAACGTTGGCTCATATTGTGACATATCTTACCTTTCTAGAAGAGAAGATTGATAGACAGCAGAATCAGTTGGATGAAATCGCTGTTGGATTGAGAACAATTGTTAATATTGTGAAAGGTAAGAATCAGGTTCAGGGAGGAGAAGAACAACAAGAGAAGAAGGAGAAGAAAGAAGTAAAAAAGTTGATGGGGGACGCAATAAAGTCTGCTGGTCCTGTGATAAAGACAAATGGAAATGGAAATGGATCCAATGGAAATGGATCAAGTCCACCATCTACTCCTCACTCTTCTCATTCTTCTAAGCCCCAGAAAAGATAAGCGCTGCACCCGAAAAACCGAAAAAAAAAGAAAAAGTGAAGATGAAGTTGCCATTTACGTTTTGCAACAAGAAAGAAGAAAGTCTGTTGCTATGGATTGCAGAAATCCAGACGTTTGTGAGTACCGCACCGGTCGAGCCGGAGTCCCAAATCGCGTTCACCACTTCTTGCATGGGTGGTGAGGCCAAGCAATGGGTGTTGGCCGAGGCCAATGCCGCGGGTTTCGAAGATATCGGTGAGTGGGCAAAGACACTGACGCTGAAACAATTCTTGGCAAAAACCAGGGACCGTTTTCTCGACAAGACGACGACCGACAAGGCCTTTGACCAGTTGACGTCAATTGGTCAAAAGCATTGGACGTCAGTTGAGGCTTTGTCCCGAGAAGTTGACCGATTGTTGCAAGTTCCAGGATTGAACCTGCAGGACAGCCAAGTGTTGTACATCTATTCCCGCGTATTGCCTGAGCCCATCCGGGGACACTTAGTCACTGAAGCGAAATCCGGTAAGTACAACTACAGGCAATTTCGTGACCTTGCCCTGTAGAGGGAACAAATGACTTCTCAAGTCAAGAATTCCTATGCAGCGGTAGTTAAATCTGGAGGAAGACAGTACAATGGGAAACGAGTTCTCTGGCGACAAAAGCGCCAGGACCACACCCTTGTCGTCTTTGATGACGACACAGTGGAAAAGTGGCCAAACGAGGAGAATGATAACAACAGTGACTCTGGGAAGGGGGAAGTCACTGCTGTTGTGGCCAATAAGGGAGGACCACCCAGGACAGGGGGGAAGAAACAAAGAGCGTTTCCATGGCACCCTGGCATTGCTGATGGGAAGCCATGGGTCGAAATGGGTATGACTAGAAAGACTTGGCAAGAGCG